CTATTTCAGCAATGTAAAACGTTTCCCCAGGATTAAACAAGCCTACCTCTATTAGGGAGGATACAGGAATCAACAAAATAGTAAATTACAAACCCACCTATTTTAAAAGAGGAAACAAAACAAAGTAGACTATAAATGTTTTAAGGAGGAAGAAAATGAACGAAAGAAGCAAAGTGAAGAATGTACTGCTCCATGATGTCTACTTGTAGGCCTATTTATAGGCTAATTGAGGGGCTTAAGTCATGACAAGTGTATGACACTTGTTTATAACTTTGCATGCAATTTGCCACATGGTTGAACACTTGACACTTGTTTATGACTTTCCATGCAAGTTGCCATATGGTTAAACACTTGTCCATTTTTGGAAAATATTATAACAGTTCCCCCACATATTTTCAAAAAATTCATACAAAGAAGAGTAAGATTTGCTGTATTTGTATGGTCCAAATGCAATAGGTTTGGTGTCTTTTGGACTATGAACCAAACTTAGATCAATAAAGTTTAACTCACAGAATTACTGGTGAAATATAATATTTCTATGAACCAATAATTCTTATTGTAAGTCAGAGATTTTATCAATCACATTTCGACTCCCGGTAATTTTGCTGTTCAACGTGGTTTTGCGCCCAATAGGCCATGCGCATGCCTGATTATTCACGAGAGCTCTAGAGACTAGGCCAAAATCTCATATGAGCGGCCCACTCCACTCTCATATAGGTGAATCCATCAAGTGTATATTGCTTTTAAGTACACCATCCATAAGGACTGTGAATTTCATTAAGAGTTATAACTCAGCCTCTCAATTAGTAGCAGTTAAGCACTCTCTTTTAGTACTTCAGTGCCAATATCGACTTGTTATTACCCATATGAACCTACTTCATGGGATCTCTAATCACATAGGTTGGGTTACCATCTTTATTGACAATATGTCGGCCTTGACCCCATCTCTTTTAAGGTTTGAAGAATTAATTTTCTTCCCACGGGTTTAGTCAGAGGATCGGCCAAATTTATCTCTGGCTTCACATAGTCAATGGAGATTATTCCATCTCTCAACAACTGTTTTATGATATCATGTCTCAATTTCATGTGTCTACTTTTACAATTATAAGATTTATTCTTTGCAATAGCTATTGTCGCTTGACAATCACAATGCATAGTCATAGGAGGCAATACGTCCTTTGTTAAAGGGATATTAGATAAGAAATTTCTTAGCCAGTCAGCCTCAGAGCCAGCTAACTCTAGAGCTACAAACTCTGATTCCATAGTTGATCTAGCAATGATCGTCTGTTTAGCTGATTTTCACGATATTACACCACCACCAAGGGTGAATACATAACCACTAGTGGATTTTGTCTCATCTGAATCAGAGATCCAGTTTGCATCACTGTACCCTTCTAAAGTAGAAGGAAATTCACTATATAGGATACCATAATTCATGGTTCCTCTCAAATATTTCATTAGTCTAGCTAATGCAGACCAATGCTCTTTATTGGGATTATGAGTATATCTACTCAGTCTACACACTGCATAGGCTATATCAGGCCTTGTAAAATTCACTAAATGCATCAGACTCCCAATAATCTGAGTATATTTAGACTGAGCAACTGGGTCACCATTATTCTTTTTCAACTTTAGAGTTAGCATAAAAAGGAGTGCTCACAGATATGACATTAAAATATTCAAACTTCTTAAGAAGTCTCTCAACATAATGTTCTTGTGACAACATTATTCCATCTTCACTCCTTATAACTTTAACTCCCAATATTGTATTTACTTCACCCAGATCTTTCATATCAAAATTAGCTGACAGAAATAATTTTGTACTTTGCACAATATTTAAGTTTGTACCAAATATAAGAATGTCATCAACATATAGACATATTATCACATAATCATTGTCTACAACTTTAGTATAAACATATTTCTCCACCTCAACGGAAGAAAACTCATCTCTCAGTAAGACTTGTTCAAATTTCTCATACCACTGCTTAGGAGCTTGTTTAAGGCCATAAAGAGATTTAATTAATTTACAAACTTTATTTTCTTGTCCAGGAATGACACATCCTTCAGGTTGAACCATATAAATTTCTTCTTCTAAATCACCATTCAAAAAAGCAGTTTTGACATCCATTTGGTGGATAAAAAGCTTACGGATTGAAGCTAAGGCAATTAAAACTCGAATAGAAGAAATTCTAGTCACTCGTGCAAATGTATCAAAATAATGTATATTTTATTTTTGAGAAAATCCTTTTGCTACTAACCGAGCTTTATATTTATCTAAAGATCCATCTGGATTAAATTTCTTTTTGAAAATCGATTTACAACCAATAGGTTTTGCACCATGAGGTAAGTCAGTTAAAATCCATGTATTATTTTTCATAATAGAATCAATTTCAACTTTTATTGCCTCTTTCCAATGTTTAGCATCTGAAGACGATATAGCTTCAAAATAATTTGATGGTTTATTATCGACAAGAAAAGTTTGAAAATCATTTCCATATGAAAAATATTCTTTCCTAGGCCTTTTACTCCTTCTCAATTCCTTATTAGAGGTAATTTCAAACTATTTATTTTAACAGGTGTATGAGAAATTTTATCAGATAGTGGAAAAATATGTTCAAAGAATTCAACATTCTTTGTCTCAATTATAGTATTGCAATCAAGAACATCACTTTTAAAACAAGAAATCTATATGCAGCACTATGTTCTCCATATCCAATTAGCATGCAATGATCTTAAGTACAAAGAGTCCCTGGTTACAATAGCCCTTTCCCACAAACACATTATTTTTGGTCATTATGATCTTATCAGATTCAAATGACACTTTCACTCCGGCTCTTCCCAACAAGGATACAGAGATCAAGTTTGCCCTCATAGTAGGAACATGCAGTACATCAACAAGGGCTAAAAATTTTTCCGAAGTGAGTTTCAGGAGAACTTTACCCTTACCCAAGACTTTGGTAGTACTTGAGTCTCCAAGGTAGACTTCTTCTCTATCATCCTCTATAGGATTATAAGAGGAAAATGCTTCTCGATTTGCACAAATATGCCGAGTAGCCCCAGAGTCTATCACCCATTCTTTTGCATGTGCTACAATGTTTACTTGAGAAATGACAGCTGCAATAATATCACCTCCTTCGGCTAACTTAGCCTTAGGAGTATTAGTTTTTCCTTTGTCATTTTCTGCTCCGTACTTGCACTGTGAGGCATGATGGTCCGGTTTTCCACAAACAAAACAAGAGCCTTTTTTTCTTTTAAGGTTAGGATTTTTAGGCTTGCAACCTTGAGACTTATTCTCGTACCTTTTGCGGTTGTTGTTGCTGCTTTGCACGAAGTTTGCTTTGAGAGATGTCATCCTAGCTTTGGCAAATTCTTTTCTGTTGGAATCTTCAATTAGGATGTGGGTCACAATTTTCTCAATGGTGAAATTTTTCTGTTTGTGCTTTAAGTTGTTTTTGTAGTCACTCCATGAGTCAGGCAGCTTCTCAATTAGCACTCCAGCAGCAAACTTTTCTGGTAAAGACATTCCCTCGGCCTTTAAGTCTTCTAACAATTTTTGAAATTCATTGATTTGTAGGTTCATCTCTTTATCATCCCTCATATGCCATTGATAAAATTTTCCTACTACAAATTTTATTTTGTAGCATCTTCAGCAGTGAATTTTTTAATTAAAGCTTCCCATATAGCTTTTGCTTCTTTATAACTGCAATACACGTCAAACAGTTCGTTAGAAATAGTTTGCAATATTGTATGACGACATACCTTGTTGGCATATTGCCATGATTCCATTATTTTATTATCAGCGTCTGCACTAGGTTGTGGATGCAGCAGTGCATGTGCAACACCATGGACATCAAGCAGTGAGAAAATACGTTCTTGCCAACGCTTGAATTTTCATTGGCAAAAATTTCAATATTTGACACATCTGGAAATGGCCTGGCATATGGCAGTGCGACTGGGGCTGGAGCAGCTGACGTAACGCCAATATTGGCGGTATCAGTAGTATTTTCAGCATCAGTGTTATTTGCCATAGTTTCTTAGATTGTAGGGAAATGACACCGAAAAATTAATAATAATAATAATACTGTAATAATATTATTTGTGAACGGATATACGGACTGGCTTGAGCCGTGCTAGGCACTGTCCTAAGAAACTATTTCAGCAATGTGAAATGTTTCCCCAGGATTAAACAAGCCTACCTCTATTAGGGAGGATACAGGAATCAGCAAAATAGTAAATTACAAACCCAGCTATATTAAAAGAGGGAACAAAATAAAGTAGACTATAAATGTTTTAAGAAGGAAGAAAAGGAACGAAAGAAGCAAAGTGAAGAATATACTGCTCCATGATGTCTACTTGTAAGCCTATTTATAGGCTAATTGAGGGGCTTAAGCCATGACAAATGTATGACACTTGTTTATAACTTTGTATGCAATTTGCCACATGGTTGAACACTTGACACTTGTTTATGATTTTCCATGCAAGTTACCACATGGTTAAACATTGGAAAATATTACAACATAAATACCTTTGGACATTTCCACATTAGGATTAGGAAGGTAAATATAAAAGAGTGTACAAAGTATATCTCCACTAATGACTCTTAACAGAAGAATGAATAGGTAGAGGTCCTAAGTTCAAAATTTACGGCCACTAATTTACAAAATTATTTATGCGGGCAAAGAAAAAAAAACAGATCCATACGTATATAAGCTTGGTGCAAACCTTTAAAAAAACATCTCATTTCTAATAGTTTAAACTTTTATGTACATTCATGCAAATTTTGCAGATAACTCCATACTACCGTAATTATTAATGCAAACAAAATCTTTTTGGTTTGTTATACTATATAAAACTATAAAGATTCAAAATCGGCAAAAAAGCGAAGGACAAAAGAACAAGACGTGCTCCTCGTTAGGATAACAGGATTGGATGTGAATAGTTCCAAATTTCATTAACATTACAAATACCTAGTGTTCATTCACATGCAAAAAAGTAAGATGACTTCCGTCAATGTAAGTGATCAAGAAGCTCAACACTTATGCTTTCAAGAATGGATGAAGCTCCAAGAACAAGACCTCTTGGAGCTCCTCCATGCCCACCACCATTCCTCCTCCTCCTCCGCCAGCACCTATCGCACTAGCGCTAACAGCGACAGCCACCTAAAACAACTCATTGCAAAATCCATCAAACACTTCCAAGACTACATTGACAACCGCAGACATTTTGCACGTAATGATGTCAGTGCCTACCTTGCTCCCACTTGGTGCACCACTTTAGAAAGCTCCATGCTCTGGATCTCTGGGTGCCGTCCATCCAGTTTCATTCGGCTTGTTTATGCGCTTGGTGGCAGAGAACTCGAATCTCATCTCTCTAACTATCTCCAAGGTAAGAGATATGGAGACCTCGGTGAGCTCTCGACCATACAGCTGAAATCAGTTGACGAGTTACAGATGAAGACGATAAGGCAAGAAAACCGGTTGTCACAGATGCTCGCCAGCTTGCAGGAGGAGATAGCTGATCAGCCAATTGCCATTATCGCCAATGAAGTGGGAAATTTTGCTGAAATATGTGGTGAAGCAGAGGAGGCCCTCGATAAACATGCTAAGTGTTTAATGCACGTTGTAGAAGAAGCTGATAAGCTAAGGATGGAGACTTTCAAGGAGCTGGTGATGAACATATTGAGTCCATTTCAAGCTCTTGAATTTCTGATAGCTAGCAAGAAGCTCCATCTTTGTATCAATGCTTGGGGTGAAAAAAGAGATCTTCAGCATGGGAGGAACAGAGGAACAGCAGAGAGAAACATCTGTCCAACTTTATCTTAAAAAGCAAAATAAATAAGTGAAAATGTTTATGTAAATTATGTATATATATGCAATAATATTTTTCTTTTTTTTGGTTTCCCACCCGGTGTCCGGTACCCGCATTGGAGCCCGACTATATCCGGATTCACGCCGCGTAGGGCCCCTTTCGGGGGGAGCGCTCCCTACCAAGGATTTTTCCATACCCAGGGCTCGAACTTGAGATCTCTGGTTAAGGGAGGAGCAGTCCCATCCACTGCACCACATCCTTTGGTGGTGCAATAATGTTTTGTTGATACTAAGTCCGGATTACTTTTACTGCATTCGTAATTTCTTCTAATCTCTTAATTGTTGATTTGGTATAATCTTTAACACAAAAAAAAAAAAAAAAAAAAAATTCCTTTAGTGTGATTTAGCATGAAGTCTAAATATCCAAAGTTAGTTTCACAATTTTCAAATAACCGGTATGAACCGCTCGGTATGTACAAAAACCAACTCTCGAATATACACAGAATTTCTCCAAGACCCGGAACATCGTAAGTCACAAGCTTCTAAGAATTTGTCTAATTGTTCTATACATCAGTATCTAGAAGAAGTAAGGGAAGAACAACACAAAGAGATAGAGGGAGACTATGAGGTTTGCGGATGCGGGCAAATATACCTTGAAGTCTCCGGAGCAGCAACAAGTATGCAACTAAAAGCGAGGCTGGTAGGAGGTACTTGAATATGCGTACAAAAACATGTGCGGAAGAGTAGCATGAGTACACCACAACGGTACCCAATAAGTGCCAAGCCTAACATCGGTCGAGTAGTGACGAGGGCAGGTCCGGACCCTACTGGTATATATGTAATAAATAAGGCAGTGTAAAAATATCGTAGTGTAATAAGAGACTGAAATTTAACAAAGAGAAAATCACGAAAAAATAACAGTACGGTACACAGGATTAATACAATAGGGGATCTCCCGAGATAATGTCTCGTAGTCCCAAAAGTAAAAGTGCAGGGGAATCTTCCGGGATACCGTCCCGTAGTCCAAAGTAAATATGCAGGGGGGTCTCCAGGGATACCGTCCCGTAGTCCCAGAGTAAATACGCAGCTCAAGACAATGGAAATAACAGTTACAGCAAGAAATCCTACAATTTAGACTAAGTACAAGTCAAAGAAAAAGTCCACTAACCATGATGCACAGAATTCAAATAAGCACTTAAGGCACGTAGACATGCTATTCTAGGTTAAACAGGATAACAACACATGTTGGTATAACTCAATTAAGAAGAAACAGGTTATTACTCAGTAAAAATCGGATTCCACAACAAATAGCTCGTGTACGCACTCGTCACCTCACGTAGACGTCAACATATCACAACAGTACCAAATCCTAAGGGGAGTTCTCCCACACAACATTAGACAAGCCACTTACCTCGAAGCAAGCTCAAGCAATCGGTAACAATGCCTTTTCCACGAATATCCGACTCTAAATGGCCCAAATCTAGCCAAAAGCAATTACATACCATAAATATAACTATAAGAAACTAATCTAATTAATGAAATCAAGGCTTAAACAAGAAATTAGAAAATCGACGCAAAAAGTCGACTCGGGCCCACATTCAGAATCGTGTAAAAGTCACAAAATATGAGCGCTCATTCACTCACGAGATCACTCGTACCAAAATTATCAAAATCCGATGTCAAAATCAAATCAAAAACCAAAATCTTAGTTGAAGAACTTCTCCCATTTTTCTAAATTTTTCAACCCAAATTCGAAATTAAAAGATGGAATTAATGATAGATTAGTGGGATATAACCAAAATCAAGTATAGAATCATTACTCAATCGATGCCTCTGAAAATCCCTCAAAATCTCGTCCAAATCTGAGCTCTCTATCTCAAGTTTTGATAAAAATGGCCAAACCCTTGATTTTGAAATGTTTAATACTGCCCAGGCATCCCTTCTTCGTGAACACAGAAGAACTCTCGCATTCTCGAAGAGCAACTTACTCCAGCCCAGAATTCCTTCATCGCGAAAGCGACGTTCATATCGCGAACGCGAAGGTCACTCAACTCAACCCTATGCGAACGCGGGACCAATATCGCGAACGCGGGGCAAAAGGGCCTGGGGACCCAGCTGGCCATTTCCTCTACATGAACGTGGGACCTCTATCGCGAATGCATAGACCAAGTACCTCAGTGCTTCGCGAACGCAGGACCTCCATCGCGATCGCGAAGCACAAAAATCTCACCTGCCTCCAGTTCCTCTTCGCGAAGACGAGACTTCCCTCGCGAACGCGAAGAAGAACCGGACTCTTCAGAAAATCTGCAATTCCTTCACAAGTCCAAATGATCCGTTAACCACCCGAAATCAACCCGAGGCCCCCGGGACCTTAACCAAACATACCTACAAGTCTTAAAACACCATATGAACTTAGTCGAGCCCACAAAACACATCAAACAACAACAAAAACAAAAATCATCCTCCAATCCAAACTTAATGAACTTGAAACTTCAAACTTCTATAACCGATGCCGAAACCAATCAAAACACCCGATTGACCTCAAGTTTTGCACAAAAGTCATATTCAACATTGTGGACGACTCCAACTTCCAGAATCGGAATCCGACCCCGATATCAAAACGTCCACTTCCGGTCAAACTTCACAAAAATTCGACTTCTTCCCATTTCAAGCCTAATTCAGCTACAGACCTCCAAAACACAATTCGGACACGCTCCTAAGTCCAAAATCACCCAACGGAGCTAACGGGACTGACGAAACTCCATTCCGGAGTCATCTTCACACAGTTCCGACTACGGTCAAAATCCTAAGACTTAAGCTTTCGTTTAGGGACTAAGTGTCCCAAAATACTCCGAAACCAAAAACAAAACCTCCCGGCAAGTCACATAAGCAGAAACAGATAACGGGGAAGCAGTAAATAGGGGATCGGGGCTATTACTCTCAAAACGACCGGCCGGGTCGTTACATTACTCTAAAAAAAATTATTTTTTAAACCTATGTTACACAGTAAATTTATTGATAATTTTTATTTGAGTGTTTCTATTTATATTTTATTTTTTAATCTATTCAAAAATTATATTTAGCTCCCTCTTTTCATACATTCTTTTCTACTTTAATATTTGATTACCTTTCTCATTTTATAGTTAGCTGAAAATTTAAATAATGTAATATACTTTTGCTAAATTATAATTTTGAATTCATCAAAAGTATAAAAAGATAAGTATTTTATTATTTTTATAAAAAAACCTATCAACATTTTAATAATTATTAATTTGTGTTATATATATAATATGTTTGTCTTATATATAATATCATAATATTATATTTATATTTTTCATTATGAAATTATGAGTTGTATTTATTGAATAAATATTTTTTTTGGTAATTAAATTTCTTATTACCAGGGAAATATTTACAAGTATATCAAGAACCCTCAAATCACATAGATTTGGACATGCAGCCCCAAATCTAGTGTCCTCAGATCTACATAGCTATTCATCTACAAACTATGGATAAAATCAAAATTCTATAAATGTCTCGCTATCTTAGAATTCATTATTCCACGACAATGCACTTCTTGGATTATCAGTTTGATTATTTCCTCGCTGCTTCTTTGTGTTCCTCTGAAGGTTCTCCAATTTCGTTCTTGCCAAATATAGTAAACTGTACAGGCAAGTACCATTCTGAATGTTGCACATATTTGCTTCTTTCCTGAACCATGCTTTATTGCCCACTGCTTTTCAGCCTGCCAACCTTGTATATTCCTTTGGATCCCCATCCATTGTAGTAGTTTATGCCATATATTTGCTGAGTAGATACATTGAAAGAACAGGTGCTCATGACTTTCTGCTACACGTTCACATAATGAGCATGTCGAGCTTATTGCTATGCCCCATCCCAGTAGTCTGTCTCTTGTATATAGTCTTTTCAGGATTGCCAAGTACAAGATGAATCTCCATTTAGGACTTCCCCAATTATTACACATAATTCTCCTCCACTCCACTTTAGGTAGATCACCTCTCAATTTGTTGTATATCAGTCTGATGGAGTACTTCTTCATGCTCAACACTTCTTCAATTGCTATACAGTTAGGTACTTACCAGCTCCCAGAATTTTTTGTACCAACCATGAAGCTTGGTTAGCTTTTGCTTGCCATATTACTTATCTCTTGATGTAGTAAGCATGAATCCACTGTATCCACAATCTGTCCTTCTTCATGTTTAGATTCCACAGTTGTTTGATTAGAGCAGCTCTATTCCATATGACCATACTGTGATATTTAGACCCCCTGCTGATTGTGGCCAGCATAACTGTCTCCAAGCTACTAAGGCTTTTGCTTTGGTTTCTGTTTCACCTGTCCACAGAAACCTCTTGTAGATTGTCTCAATTGCTTGTAATATCTTCTTAGGTAGGGGAAATATATGTGACCAAAATGATTGGATAGCAAACAGAACACTCTTGGTCAGCTGTAACCTGCCTGTATAGGACAAGAATTTTACTGTCCAGTTTTTGATTCTGCCTACCATCTTATCTAGCAGAGGTTGGCATTGAGCAACAGATAATCTTTTACTACTCAATGGGACTCCCAAGTATCTGAAAGGCAAGGAGCCTTTAGAAAAACCTAAGCATTGAATAATGTTTTGCTGCATATCTTCAGTAACCCCTCCAAAGTAGATGTTGCTTTTCTCCTGATTAGCAATCAACCCTGAAGCCTTTGAAAACTGTTGAAAGCAATCATACAGTAGTTCTACAGACACCACATCTCCTCTGCAAAATAGTAACAAGTCATCTGCAAAACTGAGTTAAATTATATTCAGCTTCTCACACTTAAGATGGTAATTAAAATCAGGATTCTCTCTAAGTGTCTTCAAGCTCCTTGTAAGGTATTCCATAGCTAAGACAAACAAATATGGTGATAATGGATCACCTTGTCTAACTCCTCTCTTGGCATCAAAAGGAGTTGTTGGCTTTCCATTAATCACAATAGCATAAGACACTGTAGTAACACATGCCAT